ACTACACTACACTACATTACACTACACTACACTACACTACACTACACTACACTACACTACACTACACTACACTACAAAGCATTGCACTACACTACAATGCACTACACTACACTATGCTACACTACACTATATTACACTTACGCTACGCTACACTACACTACACTACACTACACTACACTACACTACACTACACTACACTACACTACACTACACTACACTACACTACATTATTATACCTAGTACCAAATTATGTTTTATGTTTTAGGCAAATTATATGTTGGCCGGAAATGGAGTTACAGTAACAGATAGAAAATTTCAACAGATACAAGGTACACTATATTCAATTTCATTTTTGACAATTTGTTTCAATCATTTTCATTCAAGAAATACATGTTTGTGGCAATACAATGTATCCGTTTCCAACGAATTAGCACAGCATAACACGGATCGCAATCACTAACATTTCAATCTAAACTAATTTCACCGCATCATTCTTTTCATTACGTTTGATTCTACCTTCAGATGGAGAGTATGTTGCTGTAGCTAGATACCGAGCAGAGACCGATACTGTGGAAATGTCACATGAAACCACCATCATATGGATAGGTAATAGAAAATTAGTTCACCGGCTCCCATTACATTTTCGGTAGATTGCATGCATATCGCGCTTGCAACCCAATAGTTGTATTTTAATGGTAAACGTCAGCCATTTCTTTTTGTATATAATGCTCTTCACATTATTATCATATACACCAACGTAATAACTTAAAGCATGGGCCATATTTTAATATTATATCTAAGTATGTTAGCTCATAAAAGAAAAAGCTAAAACCTTACTCAAAAGATATATATATATACCGGTAGGGTCTTGGAACCACCTATCGGCCAGCTAAAACTGCAGAACACCTGCAAATAAATTATTAATTACTCTGGCATCATTGCGATTCGACCGATGCTAAGGACACTTTAATAAATGAACATACAAAGATTTACCCAATGAATTTGAATGCGAATTCGATAATGTATCATCTGTTGACATCTATTGCGGATAATAACTATTATTTATAAACATAAACGTGTTGAAGATACGAACAGTCAAGATAATTGCTAATGAGACAAGGGTTGGTGTATAAATAAACGGCATATACGTGCTACTCGAGTTATTATACTTGCAAAACATAGCGCAAAGTAAAAAAACGAATAATAAAAACTCGCTTGTTGAACTAATCGAGTAATAAAAAGAAAAAATGATGTATTACAGAAAAGTATAATTGTAACTACTGAAAGTTCATACAGAAATAAATTACAATTGTTCGCTTCTGTCTGGTGCTGTGGTTAGAATCTGTTTATAAGAAAAAATCACAAAATGTGAATGTATTCTAATATGTATATATATCATAGACAAACATGCCATTGTGAATGACAAATTGTTTGTTGACGTACATAGTATTGGAATGTTTTAAATGAATTGTTTAATGCGCTCTTTATTTACTAAACCCACAAAAGTGTTAAAAGCAAAAATGCGTGCAACATATATGTGGTATCTACTCCACCATACGTCTAGATTTGTATATTATAACAAAAGTTGATTTTTACACCATTTGTCTGATAAAATATACTTGCTGGAAATTATTCAATTATTTTTTTCCATCACGACCTCACGGCTGCTGCTCCAAATGAAACCATACGCGCTGAGGCAATTTAATACTCTCATTCCAAGAGCAAACAAGTTGTGTGGTTAATATGTATTATGTGCAGATGTCTAGAACACAACACCGACGTGGTTCTAACAACACTGGGTAAAGTCAATTAACTAACAAGTAACCCATTTGATACTAACTTAACTTTGTCTCCACCATCTAGGAACTGGACCACCAAACGATGAAATCGAGCATGTGTATATCACTGAGAAAGTTCCGTTATACTTATATATTACTATGTCTGTCTTTGCGGGCGTTGGAATACTGTGCGCAATTGTCTTTCTGTTTTTTAATATAAAATTCAGATATAAGAGGTAGAGTATTTATTTCACTATGAGCATATCTTCAGTTGGTGTGACCAAAATAAAACTGTGACAAAATCGCTGATATACGTGATCGGAAATGCATGGGGCCATGCTGCATGCCTTACTCATTAACTAATTATCGCTGTTGATAATATGAACATAATACTCCGAATAGACTATTTTCAAATGGCCAGCGATATTTTTTGAAAGCAAGATACACTAAATAAGTTCGTGCATCACCTCCCCTCACATAGTATTCCAGTCACTACAGCCCACCTTATTATATTGTGTTCCAAATGCCGTTGTTTCAATGGCTAAGAGAACGGTGGAAGCAATGACGTTAGAGAAGGAATGTGGTTAGAACACATCTAGTGTCCTCTCAACAATATCGTGGAGGCCATTTGTGGATAAGATACATTATTGTTATACCGAGTTTATATAAGTAACATGGTGCATTTGCATTCGGTTATTTATCGTCCCAGGTTATGTTCAGTCTTATCTGACCAGGCTTATTGGTCGTACTATTAAAACCAAAAAACATAGATTCAAAATATGCTTTGGAAAACGATCGGCCACATTGGACCAGATCGCAATGTGCAATCCAGTACGTATTGAATGTAAGACAAATAATAACCTCTCAACAAATATATAAAACAGACACATGTATCAATAGTGGACAGTGCCCGTTAATGTGATAACTGTGATAATAACAGAAACGATTCTTGTATTTATTTTCACAGAGTAATAAAAATGTCATCGCCCACTATTAACAACTTCATACTTGGTGGATGTATCGCATCGTATTTATCAGTGTTTATAGAGAATTTTGAGGGATCGCCACAGGTAGACGCATTGCTGAGCTGCAAGATGAATACATATTTGCTGATGTATGGGTTCTCGGCTGCGTATGGGGCATTGTTTTCAAAAACATGGAGAGTGCATATAATATTTACTAATAAACATATAATTAAAAAGGTATTGTGAATAATTAACAACATTACAAACCATCACGTCATTAAAACAGCACCATCACAACACTGCGGATATAATCTGTTAAACGCAAAAATATAGTATTCCAAAATGCTTTATTCACAATGGTAATTTAACGGCTAAACATTGAATAAGCAAGTAATAGGTGATTTTCCGAACAATTGCGAGATCTCGCGAGATGCATGAAAGACGCGCGTCGAACGTCTGCCGCAAAATCGAACGATTTGATTTTGAACTCGAATTTCTTTATTTCGTAGCTCACACCGACCGGCCAATCTTCGACAGAGGAATATTGCTTCCGAATACCCTTACTTAATCGAAATTGTCTATCATCAAATGTGGACAGCACATTATTAAGCATGGAAATGTCCCCAAAATACTTTCGCGTTTGTCGAATCCCACGCGATGTTTGACGCGACTACGACGCTATGACCTTTGTTTGTCCTGTTTTTACGTTCGATTTCACGCATAACGCGTGATTCTCGCAGTGAACGGAAAATGGTCTATTTAAACAGGAACAAAATTTACTAACCTGAACACATGTTGTTACTTTGAATAAATACAACTAACCTTTCTATTGTCAGCAAATATATACGTTGACGATGCAACATAGTAAGCACCACATACGTTGGACAAGTTATGAGTTCTAACCTTAATCAATCTTTCAAATAGTTTAAAGAAAAGTCTACTCCTCGAACTCTTCAAATCCATACATTTCCATATTCTTCAAATTGAAAAATTTGTTTATTTTACAGTCCATATACAAATAAGAATAGGAACATGAAAAGTACCTTGCCATTAAATCTGCCTATATCCCGACAAAACTAGCACATTTTATGTTGGACCTTTAGATCAATGAACCGCTGGTAACACACAATGCTTTAAATATGAGCAAAATAAATTAAAGAATTTTTTTCAGCAGGAAGTGCGTTTATATTGATAGTGTTCTAGTAGTAATCTACTTGAGCCATGCACCGTGACATCACTTAGGTATTGCTTTTGTCCTACTTTACAGACTATTAAAGACATACAGTTAGTAGGATTAGTGTTGGTGTTATTGAGTATTGACAGCATCATTATTATTCTATGGGAAAGCCTGGATCCACTGGAAATCCACTATTACGACGCAATAAAACTGGTATGTTAACTCGTTAACTTCACAAATATTACGGATGTGTGTTACACTTTTCAAGTTGCCAGAAAGAGGTTACTATTAAGATTGAAAAGGAGATTATTCTATCTCTGGGTCGATAATGTAATTCATGATGGTTGAGAAAAAAGGCTACTTTATTGTACAGGTGTATTTAATATGACAGTCATCAAGTTTCAATGCAAATCCTGCGTTGTTTTGATCATGTGAATAAAAAGAATAAGTATATATTTCGCAGCCAGAAGAGTTTGACGATAGAACAGTGTTATACCAAGTCCGATTATGCGAGTCCGAACACATGTCCTATTGGATTGGCACATTATACTCCATCAAATCGGTCTTACTCTTATTTGGTGTGTTCTTGGCCTGGGAAACACGAAAGGTGAAGTCAAGTTTAAGTGAATTCAATCATTTATAACTGATAAACAGTGTCTGCTATTCCTAAATACGATATGATACAAGCCGTGTGGCTTGGTGTAGTTGCACGCTGGCATGCAGCTTCGGCAGTTTTCTGAGGTGCCCAACATGTGTAATTGATTTATGTCGATACTGGGACGGCTGACCGGAATTACGAAAGGCGTTCAATGAGTAATACCCCTGACCCATTTCCCATAGCAGGAAATTTGGCACAGTTATTAGGCTTTCTCTACATAGGAACCACCCAAAGGTATGCATTTCTCCCATCGTTTGATGCAGCTCTGGACACCGTTTTTGTAGAACACCGTACCCCAGGCTGGTCCTCCAACCACGTCGTATCTTCAGAAATCAATGCTGCATCATCCGGGAAACACTTTCCTTTGAAAACAACGTCATGAAGGGAAAAGATAAAAGTCAGAGGGTGCAAGTTCAGGAGAGTAAAGGGGATGGGGAGGATTGCATAGACACACGCCCGTGCTTATGATCTGGCGACATACGAGTTGTTGTACTGCAGGAGGTGGATACATTTGCTGATCTTGTCCCGCCTATTGATTTTGATAGCTTCTATTAATTTTATCAAAAGTGAAGCGTAATAGGCTCCTGTAAACGTGGTACCTTTTGCCAGGAAAACTGTCATCACTACTCCGCTGTTTTTTGCAACATAGCCCATAGAGATGGAAATCATTACACATGCAACATTTTGTCTAGATCAGCCAACTGGAAGTGGGTCAGGGGCATTACTTATTGAACGTCCCTCGTACTTTTTAAAGCAATTCATAATAGATATATAGAGTTATTTAGCGCTATTGCTCGCGTTATCAATGTCATCATGACGTTGAACCAATCACGCTGTTATACTTCACACAGTTCATTATTCTATTTTGTACACCAAAATATTACTTGAAAAATAATCTTTTGCAATTCGTAGGTTTCCATCCCAATACTGAATGATTCACGCTATATCGGCATCTGCATCTACAACGTGGTCATCTTGTGCGGTCTCGGTGCACCCCTCGTGTATGCTTTACGATTTCAATCGATGATGCGGTACACAATTACGTCGACATTTGTGATCTTAGCAACCACCGTGACACAGCTTCTTGTGTTTATACCAAAGGTATGTTCACCGCTTTTTTGTAGTTTGGCTTTCACTTGTTTGTATATAATGGCACTGTATCCTTTCTTCTGTGTGCTATACTACGATATGTGTCATTATTCTGTGCACACACTTAGATATACGTGTTGGGCTAAATTAGGATGAAATCTAAACATTGCAATCAAAATAGGGGATGTTCAGCTGACCCATGTATTCTTCACAGTATAGCACTACCCCTAGGTAATATATGTTTAGAGCATTTAATTTATTGTAGCAGTACTAGTGGTATTATTTTATGTTGACGTACATATCCTCCGTACCTACAACGTGAGTAATGTCATTTGTTTAACAATGCGTTTTTATTCACAGCTCTTAACTTACAGGGAGGGTCACGTTATGCCCACAGGAACCAGCGGAATACGAGATCAATTGTTTGAGACAAGCAATTTTAAAGCAACTGCTGTGAAAGAAATTGTACCGACGACGAACATTGGAGTACAGTAAGTGAATTACATGTTACAGCAAAATCACTACTACAACATGTATATAGGAATACAATATATTTATGTTACGGTTTAATTTATTCTACAATGTTGGATTCCTTATGTGTCACATTAAAGGCGTAAAATTACAACTCTCTGACGAACAATAATTAATTTACCTGGTTGGTTTTATATGTATATATAATATATGTGATATGATATATTTATATACGTGTACGAAACTTTGAAAGTCACTCACACTAGATAGTATATTATATATTCAATAGTATGACGTAGTTTGTAACATTGGTTGAATATATTTGCAGATGTGATATATACGAATAGATGCACGAGGCTGTTATCTTAAGAATATATGGAATGACTGGGTGATTTAACGTATTCCAATTTGGATTATTTTTATTGTCAATGACCACCATCAACACGCATGATATCAGTGAAACCTGTCATCGCTACCAGCCACAAAGAAAAACTGTCAATCAACCAATCCAATCCCACACCCGCCGCTGAAATAACAATAGTTGAAAATCTCAAAACACATTCGAAACAAGTCAAACCTAGAACGCTCTGACAATTTATTCACATGTGTATAATATTGTTATGTAGTATTTCTTTGAGATTACATGTTTGGTCAAGCAAATACAAAAAAAAACAATGGAATTTGAGGAAGGTTCACGCGATGTGCATGCTTGGTTAGTTTGAACTCACTTTATATCATATCACTGTATAATAAACAACAAACATAGTCCATGTATTCATCTCAAAGTTGAAAAAGACCTGAGAACACCTTGCACAAACAGTAATCAAAAATTGCATCTCGTTTGCATATTCTACATCGTTTTCTAATGAATAAGTATCCATCGTCTTATTAAGACAGCGACAAATCAAAATACATATAACAGATAGTTCAGCAATTCCGTAGGAATGAATGGTATAAAAATTAACTTTTTTTTAAAAATTACAATACATTATTTTTCACATTATTTTTGAATCAATGGTTGTCGTTTTTAAAATATTGCACGTGAACATAGTAATTTATCTGCACTGAGATTTAGCATTTTAATGATTTTTGTTGCAAGTAAAATTAGCATAGTAATCTATTATATACATAATTAATAATTTAATATTTGTATACCATTGTTATAAAAAAAATATTTTTTAATTAAAATTGTAGTTGTTTTGAAACAAAAGATTTTATTTTATTTATTATTAATTAAGAAATTCTAGACGAATGATACTAAGCGTTGGACGAAACGGTTCTACGTGACATGAATAGCAACAATTCGACTTCTTGAAATATACAAACGCTTTCTGGAGAAATAGCAAGACCAAATGTGAAAGGCGGTGTGGCAATATCATACAGCTCAAACTTTTTGTTGAAACACATTTGAATGCTTGTAATTCTGTATATTCCGTATTGTCACATTGTATTTTTTGGCAACTTAAAGGGGCACCTTCCAGTTAAGATTAATTTCACAACAAATTTACTTTCTGGATTAAAATAACAATGGATAACAAAAGATAGATTAACATTGTAAACAACATAAACAATAGTGTCCCATGATTCTTTGGTGCAATCCATGGGATTGAGCGGTTCCCCTTTAACTTTAATTGTTGGAGTGTATATTTTTCAGTTTGTTAATTAAGTTTAATTATTTTTCGCCAGAGATTGCGTTGCATTCGACACTTTGATGAGTGTGACTAATCTATCTAAAAATGAAACCTTCCTGAATAAACTTGTCACATGGCGTGAAACAAGAGGATCACTTCTCCCTGCTGCCTGTCACAGTTAACACATTGAGAGGTTTGTTGCCAGTTTCAGTTTGGGTTGGAATCCCCAAGGCTTCTACCAAATATAGTTCCACATGGTGAAGTCGTGCTGCAACTTATTTGTCAAACGGTCATCGGAACAAAATTCCAAGGAGATTGTCAAACCATCATCGAGCCATTAAATCGTGTGATACAATGAACACCGTGAAACTGGGTCAACTACAAAAGCTGAGTAGTCTATGACGTTGTCATTTCTACGTCGTTATAAAGTTCGTCGTAACGGTACAGTGATTGATGTTAACAGCCTCCAAGTGACAGTATAAAACGTTATTTACTTGTACTTATGGATTATGTACTTATTATGTTGTTTAGAGCATTAGCCATGGTTATTTGCATTAAAAATATTAATGTAATTATTACTGTAATTATTAATGATCAAATAGTGTGATTTGCATTACAAATATTATTTGAAATTATCTCGTATTAAACATTTCGTTGATCACATGAATTTGTTGCTTGAAGTGCGTGCAAGTTTGTTACAGGTGTGTGTGTGTTCTATCTCAAAGTTCTACCCTGGCATTATTGTGTATGATCATATATCAATACTAATATATCTATACATTATTTGTATTGTGTATTTTGGGCTAAAGAACACAAGGTCTGTGACGGTACTTTATTTTGGCCGTTGTATTTCTGTATTACGTTTGGCGATTTTACCACACCATAGTACCTCACCACATAATTTACCTTGTGATATTTCGGTGGCAGCGGTGGGATGGTATCACTCAATTAAAGTGGCCATCCCCTTTGAAAAAATAAATTGTCTTGCCAGTAGTGAGAACTTGATGCGTAATGAGCACTTCCTTTAAGATAATTTATACACTTGGTCAAATATCTATTCCTCCATCTTCTGATCTCTTTAATAATTAATATGGATTCCGATGTGACTAGAGTTAAACAGTTAGGACAAGAGATTGGATTAGAGGATAATGATTTGACAGACTTTATAAAAAAAACTGGTGGCTAAACGAGAAACGTGAAAAGTAAAAAGGCTGAGCGTGAAGAAAGGCATAGTAAATTAGAATTAATCAAGACAATAGAGCAGATAAAACTGGATGTAGGAAGGGAAGAACGGGAATTAACAAAGGAGGAAACTAACTAAGCCCTTGAAAGTAAAGAGATCGAGTTAGAGACCATGGCTTTGGAGAGAAAAAATAGCCTTTGAAGACGCACAGAGTGAAATGCACGTGAACGAGAGAAGGTATCCCAGCGTCAGATTGAGTTACCTCACCAAATAATTTACTTTGTGGCACGTGTAAATCACGTACACAATAAGACAGACCTTTAAACTCTGTAATAGGATGTTATTTCCATTGAACGATATAGACTTTCCCTTTTCCTTATGTTTTACGGTATTTTTACCAAGTAATATCATATTCATTAGTTATTGTTCACACACGAGTTGTTGAACACACTACATAGTTTGTTATTTCATTCAGCTTCTTTCAGTCATAATTCAAAATAAACGGACAAAATATATAAAGAATAGATTTTTCTGTAATATTCTTGCGTAATATATTGACCTTTCAGCTGTTAAATTACGTTTGAATGCTATTCTGACAAACATAAATTGAATATTATCACACAAGTGGCGCCATCCCCTGTATTGCACAATTAGCCACTGGAAGGCGAGTCCGCTGTGTTAGGGGGACATCTATAGTAATGCATTAATATATGCAAATGAGCATACAATTTACATATTCTGCCTTGACCAAAACAATATGACCAAGAAATATAAGTTGCAAAAGATGTATATTTTGAGAAACTTGAGCACAAGCTTCCAGCGATATAACCTATTTATTTAGGCATGGAATTAAGCTAATCACACATTGTGTCTACTGTCTGGGACACACAATATTTCAATTTGTATTGGGAGCAAAAAAAACTGATTTTGATTTAAATATAAAGTAATTTGTATTTGGCAGGTAATTTTTAAGCTTGTAATCTTAGTTGGGGTGGACTTTTTGTCGTAATATAGAGGAATCTTTAAGATTGTATAGTAATCTATATCACAAATTATCAATTCTTTTATTTTCTCAATGTCTTAGTCTCTGAACAGACAACACGACTTCTTTGGTGGCTGGTTGGTTATTTATATGTTTGTGGGTTTGAATTTGATTTACTTGGATGACTAAGCATTAAAATGCATTATTTTCTCAGTTTCTTTGTCTCTGGTCATTCTAAAACTGTTATCATTCCGACTTGTTGGTGGCCGGTGTCTTCCAACTATTATGGAATTCATGTGTTTGGACTACATAACTGTTCCTTGAATGTGTGGAACACTGTGCTGTGCAATGCAATCCTGATTACAGGCCTTATATGCATTTAGTACCGGCACTGTGTTTTGGTCCATACACTAATATTCCCGCATTAGGGACTTGTTGAGATAGTGGGGGTGGGAAAAAAATTCAATCATTTATATTAACTAATCATTAAACTCTGAGGTTTAGAGACCATAAAACCGCTGATGATATTTGCAGTCAATTTGCACACGCTACCATTTACAAAATGGACGACTCAACATTTATTTTTTGAATTGTGTATCAATAAAGTAGATTTGTTTGTTTTTATCGCAAACTGTCGAATCCTTTTATTTTCCAATGTATTAGTCTCTGATCATAATGTTCTAAAATGTTTGGCCTTGTTTGGTGGTCGGTTGCTTTCAAAGTATTAAGCCATTGATATATCTTTTAAATTATATAGATTTATTTCACGTTGATGGCTGTGAATTATTGGTTTTTTTCCCGAATTTGTGAAAAGCAAAATGTCTTTCCCTTTCAATACAAGATATGTATCATATATGCTGTGCAAGTGCACAACACATCTTAACAGTAACGTGGTATAAATGGTTGTTATGAGCGGTTCTTTGTTTTCGTAACCCAAACTGATTTTTCTAATTGTTTTCTTTGTTCCGCTGCATAACATTGTGCATATAACCAAGGAATCTCCCAGTATACCATTTGACTAGGTCCTGGCAACGTGTACCATACCAACATGTTTCTAATGGCTGATCCCAACAAGCCATCCAACAAGTGGAAATGGCTGTAAATTAAACTTGCCATTTGTAATCATTGTGGGAGGGGTACAACAAATATATACAACCAAGAATTATGAGAAAACAATGTAAACTATGATTTTGTCAATAAAACTATCTCAGCAAAAATGTGAGTAGGA